ATAACTTCAGTATTTAAATCAAGAAATTGCAGGTCATAAAAATACCCTAAAAAATGTAAAATAACAGCCAAAAATAGAAACAACCATTTTAAAAATACATTTTGAGGATTATTCATTTCCTTCAATATAAGCAAACAGGTGTACAGATTATTTTAATCATTAAAATAGGATTGCTCTGTAAATCAACTGCACCTGCATAATTAAGTCTCTTTTATCAACATTTTTGATGAGTACTGTACTATAAACAGATAGGGTTTTTAAGTAAGATAAATATATTCTTGAATTAGGGACAGATGCTTTTGTGTCATCTATCCCTAACTTAGAACAGAAATAACTGGTCTACCTTTGGATTATTCATCACTGCATTCGATGCAATACTAGTGTTTTTACCACTTGCTTACAGATTTTATGTGACCAGCAAAAAGAAATCTGGTAAAATGCAATTGCATAAAGTTTAGCTCTAAAGGATAAAAGCTATTTTAAAAACTAAGCTTCATTTTACGTGACTGGATCACATATCTAAAAGAATACCTCAGAGATTAAATAATATACACACATTACCAAAAAAGATAACAATTTGGTTAGACTCATCTTCCCAATTTTCTTCAGAGTTGGTTTGAAACATTCATCCAACAAGCACTACAATCCCCCTTCCTTCCTGCTTTACAGTCACATGTCTTAACCAAGACCCAGCCTGATTATCCACCGTGCATAACACGTGCCAAAGCACCGAGAACACCCAAAGGGCACGCTGCGGGTCTGAGAGCAACTGGAGGAGAGGGGTGGGGAAAATGCTTTGAGTAACTGTAAGATCAATTGAGCAAATATATCATTTCTCATGAAAACAATTTTCATATGCAAAGACCCTTAATTTCTTCTACCTTTGTACAGCAATGTGCACAGAGAAGGGCCATATCTGACCCCCTGTGGCTTCTCGATTACCATAAGGTAGAGATCAGACCTGCCTCCACGCTCTATCTTTCTTTACCTATTCTGACACCAACCATTCCTCCCATACTTTTCATAAAGGTATGTTGGGTTTGATCATTCCTTGCAATGGACACACAGAACTTGGACAATCCCCGTGCTGCAGGGGATTTCTTAAGGGACTTCACAAGTTACCAAATGTCAGGTTCAGTAAGCAGCTAAGGATGCAGTCATGAGTTCACCTCTCCTCAGCCAGCAATCACATCTCTCTCTCTCTCTAATCCTCAGCCTCTCAACCTCGAGGTCCTTTGGCCTCCTCCTCCTGGAACAGGAAGCCTGCCTGCCGCTTGACCACACAGTACCGTTCATCCCAACCCTGTTCCTCTCTTCCGCCTCATGGTTTCCTCTCAGCCTGGCTTCTTTGCTCTGCCCCAGAGTCTCTGTGCCCCAGTCTCTGATGGCTCAGGTCTCGGCCTTTCCCTCTTCAGACAGAGATCTCCAATGTGCTCTTTCCTGACGGTCCTGGATTTCTCTCTCTGTTCCTGCTTCTGAAATGGCTCTTATGTGGAGGTGTGGTTTGGGTCTTTCAGCAGACTATAGTCCCAAGGAAAACAAAGGATGGTGACTTGCCCCTAACAGAGTCTAAAGTTACATCCCACCTTAATCATGAAACAGAAAACTCCCTCCAAAATATATAGCCACAGGCCTCGAGTCCAAATTTATAATGGATCGTTTAAGGAATTGTGGCTAGAAGGACCATATTAATTGACTGCATCTCACGGTTTTTAAAAACATATAGGAAATCTCATATCTTAAATATTTAAGGCATAGCCTCTGTTCAATAAAATACAAGGGGGCCTCAAAAAGTTCACTGGCAAATGTCATCATATTTTAATTCCATTTTTCCACAAACCTTTTGAAGTCTCCGGAGAGGACTGTAAGCGTGTTCTGCAGCAAGAGTCAAATATGTAGAACATGGGCATAGATTGAAATACCATGCCTGTGAAGAAAAGTCACAGCAAACTTCCTGCAATGCTAGAAAGCAGTATGCCAGAGCTAGTAAGATCTGTGTGCATTTTTAAGGAAAGCATCTATCACCGCCATCTGAGAAAGGTTCCATTTCATTTTTTAAATTCTGAGGCCCCTGTGTATTGCAACCAGTGGTGTGCCTGGCTACTAGTTGAAAGGTTGCAGGTTCAGACCCACTCAGAGGCACCTGGGAAGATACGACTCATAATCTGGATCCAAAAGGTCACCGTCCTGAAAGCCCCATGGAGCAGTGCTAGTCTACCTGCAAGGTCGCCATGAGTCGGACACAAGTGAACAGCAACTCACAGCAACAATGTGGCTGTACATTCAAATCCTGGTAGGAAGAAAACTCACAAGAAATGACTAGTTGCCCTTTGCGAACATGCAAAGGAACGATCTTCTCCATGTGTGGTCCTCCCTGTCACACACTGCCCACTCTGCCTGCACAGCACTTGCACTTGTCCAAGCCACAGTACTCGTCCTCGGGCACCCTGGAAAATCCGGGTATTTAAACAGTCCTCTGCTCTTCCACACCGCAGCATAAGACTGCCACCTACGGAATCCTTTGGTCCGTTCAGCCCCAACGGGGAGAGCAACAAGCAGGTAGCTTCTGGGAAATCGGCAAAGGAGCTGCTGGTGAGTGAGATATTCCTGTCTGAATATACCAGGCATTAGTCCCTGTTTGAGAAATGTGAGGAACAGGAGCAACATCAACTTTGGTGGCTGGCCACTTGAGTGAGCAGAAGTGGTTTGAAAAACAGTACAAATAACATAAGAGCGTATATATATTTTTATATTATATTATTATGTTGGCTTGTTTTTTATATTGCTATTATTATACTTCCCACTTGAACACAAAGATAAAGATTATATAATAATTCATGAACAAGTGCAATTAAAATATAGGTGAATTTTCCCAAAAACTTGCAAAGCTCCCTTGTCTATAGCCCCGCTCCTCACTTTAACAACATAGTTAGATTCCAAAGACCAGGTCATTATGTGAAATGAGGAAGAGGAAGAGGGACTAGGCGCAGCCCTAGCGCCTGGCCCCCAGAACTGCTGTAGCCCCCCCGTACTACTGTGTTCTGGATCCCAAAGTCCTGCTATGAGAATCGGTGCCCGAACCAACCTGGGCCCAGCAGTTGGACTCGGGGTGTTCTGGGCTGAGGCAATAGGTAGCACCAGGGGGCCTGATGGTCGGTGGGAGTTACTTCCCATGTCTATGCACCACCACCCCGCCCCCCTTGCAGCCCCAGCTGCCTGCTTCTGGAAACCCCCACAGGAAAAAGTGACTAGATGCTGTTTTCAGAGGACATAGAATCCATGACTAAGAGCCTGGCGCCTAACCACTGCTCAGAATAAACAGCTCAGTGGAGCAGGCTGGGTTACCACCCCAGGCCCAGACTTACCCTTGAGAACCTTCCCACCTCTGGACTAGATCACTCTAGGGCACCTGAGTGGAGAGGGGCAGCAACGGCAACCTCCCAGTGCCTACCTACTCTTGGACCCTCTGGCCATTTAAGGGCCCTTCTCAGAAGGAGCCCCCCAAAATCCTCCACAGTTGCCTGGCGTGCGGCAGGAGCTCTGGCGGTGAGGACGAGGCCAGCAAGAGGCTTCCTGAAGCACTGAAAACAAGCCAAGAGCCTGGCACACAGGTGGCTCTTCGGGCTACACGCTGGACGTGGAGAAGAAACCCGGGTTACTTTGTAAAATAGGAAGGTAGATTGTCTCTTTTTGTACCATTATTACAAATGCAAAATATTGCTAACGCGAGAATCGATAAGTGAGAAGTAGGTGTGTATGGGGTGTGTGCATGCTAGTGTGTGTGTGTGTGTGTGTGTGTGTGTGTGTGTGTGTGCGAATGTGTCAGTCTTGGGGTGGTACAAATAGTTTCCACTCAACTATCTAAAGGTTGGTCATTTGAACCCACCCAGCAGTGCCACCTCAGTGGTGCCTGGCAATCTGCTTCCATGAAATCACAGTGAAGAAAACTGAAAGGAACAATTCTGTAATTCTGCTATTGAATCCATGGGGTCACCAAGAGTTGGAATTAACTCAGCAGCAGTGGGGTTTGGGGGTTGTTTGGGAGGGGGGTTGCTATGAATATATCTGTACATATCTACACATACATGAAAGTGTACTGAGAGATGGATGGATGGATGGATGGATGGATGGATGGATGGATGGATGAGTAGATAAGAAAATACATTGGAAATAAAATTACTTTCCTAAATATCCTTAGGGAAATTCTTAAATATGGGTGATTGCTCAGCTGTTCAAATCATACGCACTCAAAATCATTTAACTCCATGTCTGTCCTAGGTTTCTCCTGCCCTGCCCTTCCTGTGTCCCCTGAACTATGATAATTTGCCTCTGGAATAAATAGTTAATCCACCACTAATAAGCACTCATGCCAAGGATCTTCCTTTCATTACCAGTTACACAATAGTAAGAGGTACAAACCATCCACCGGTCATGAGAAAGCGCAAAGGATAAGTAGCCTTTACTGGGACCACTCATTTCCACCATCACTGACTGGTCATCTTTCATGAAGGACAAGAAAATGCAGGCACGGTCCTTCGCTGGGTCACATTTCAGAGGACTCCGGATACAGAACTTCTTGTTCCCACAGTCGGAAGCACTGAACTAGAAAAATGATGGGGAAAATGTTAATGGTCATTGCGAGTGATAGAAGAGCCCCAGCCTAGAAGAACAAGCTTAACAACATTTCCAAAATAAGAACTCAATAAAGGAACAAAAGACAACCCAGATTAGAAATGATCAAAGTAGAAGTTAGGCTGCAAACTTTTAACCTTCATTAATTTTAATTACTTTGATTGCAAATGCAAGAGCATTAATGTCCCCTTTAAGACATAAAGAACTTCAGAACAAGTATGTTTTGAAACACAGCTTCTGATAACTCGTTTTAAAACTTCTTTGGAATAATACACATGGAAACAGGTAAGTAGACTGGACTGTGACAGCACATTTCAGCCGAGAGCAAACATTAATCTTCCTCCAATTAGATGTAATGACAATTTAAAGAGAACCGTAGTTGGGCAGGGCCTTCATCCCAGCTGTCCCCTTTACTCTTTTGCATTTGACAAAAGACTTATTCTCTTGAGGTCCCTTCTTGTCTGGCTCTAAAACTGCTATCATCCGATGACCATGAATGAACTACCCTGTAATTAGGGACTATGAACTTGGCTGCAGAGGCATGCTACAAACTCTAAGAAGACCCAATACTTTCTAAGTGAATATGTGAAAAGACAAAAATATTATCAATGGATTACAACTAGGAAATTCTGTTTCTATTTAAATACGTATACCTCGAAAGCAGCTTTTAAGTAAAATGAGCATTAAGAGAGACTAGTCTTAGAACTAGTACAAATATTCTAATTGTGTGGTCAAGCAATAATGTAACATTCACAGTAATATAATCAAGTAAAATGACTACAAAAAAGAAAATGGAGTAAAACATTAAACAAGGACCCAGGTGCCTAATTTAGTCTTCTCAGTGATGCTGGGCTGTTAGCTGAAAGATGAGTAGTTCAATCCCACCAGCTGCTCCCCAGAGAAAAGATGAGGCTGTTCGCTCCTCAGCAATCCTACCCCAAGTCACTATGAGTTAAAACCAGCTCAGCAGCAGTGGATTAAATGTTTTGGTTTGCGGGCGGAGGAACAGAAAAGGACAAGAAAGGAAAGCAGCTCACATTACTCTATTAAGTGCAAGGCACAGTTAGAAAGCTTATGTTCATTATTTTGGTTCATTTTCACAGTCATACTGTATAAGCGCTAAAAATTATTTTTTGCCATTTTATACACGAGAAAACTGAAATGTTGAGAATTTAAGTAATTTATCCAAAGTTGCGGAGAGAACAGACAAGTCAAGATTCAGATCCAAGGTAATAACTTGCTTCAAGTTACTTTTTACTATACCTTTTAATTAAAAACTCTGATTTATCAGAATTACCTCCAGTTAAACACTTCCTCCTACTGCTTCTACTATGCATTACCTTTTGAAAGATATGTTTGTTCCACAGTAATTTGTTTTAAGTGAAGGCCTAAACAGAATCCCAGGTGATGTACTTGCAAAATACTTTCTACAGCTCAGCATCCAAAATCATTCAGTACTCACTGGTCATAATAAAATAAGAACTAACCTGTCTAAATTTAGGTTAAGATTGGTGGCAGTTAGGTGTTGTGTCAACTTAGGCTGGGTAGGTTTTCAGTAGTTTAGCAATAATCCCACATGATCTGATCTAATATGATATACTCTGTGAGTAGCAGTTGTGGTAGAGTGCAACCCCCTGGATCAAGTCATAGTCTTGATGCAATTGGAGGAAAGACTTAAGGTGTGTGGCATGCTCCTTTTTTAAGCAGAATCTATGAGACTTTTTGTCACTTCTGCTAGGGTTGGATCCTACATCTGGTTCATCAACCTCCTGCCATATTGCTTGTCAGCCTCAGGAGCCATCAGCAGGCTGCCAGCCTTGGATTCATTCAACTCTCCATCCACTAACCTGTGGGCTTCCTACTTCCTAGTTCATCAGTCCTCACAGCTACACGTGTCAGGAGAAGGTTCAATCTTACCAGCAACCCATGAACTTGAACCAGACTGGACTTACGCAATTTTACAACTGTGTGTCATTACTTTATATAAATCTTTTTCTATATACATATATACGCATCACTGGTTGTGCTTCTCTAGAGAACCTAACCTAAGACCCTTTTCATGTGTGGTATTTGGTTGTGTTTTGAAAAAGCTTTTATTTCCAAATAAAAGCATAACCATTTCTAGGGGAAATGTCATGTGAATGTCATACCCATATCTTGAAACCAGGCAGGGTCTTGCATTTTTTAAATTCTAACCCATAATAATAAAGAAGGTCTCCAGACTTCCTAGAGAGAATACAAGAACTTGCTACCATAGACCTTGCACAAGTAAGGTTGCTTTTTAAAAGCACTTTACCCACAAGAATACAACCACAGTTTCCAACGAAGCTGTAATTTCAGATTGTATTTGGTGAATCCATATAAATGTTACTTACTGAATTGGTTAAATGGGAGACTGGTGGTGACGTTGACAATGGTGCTATTGTAGCTTTAGGTGTTGTAAAGGGAAGTGCGTCTGGCTGTGAAAGTACGGGACCAGGAATCTTCACCCAGTAGACTTTATACTTCTCAACAACTGTTGCTCTGAAAGACAGTACCAGTGAAGTTAAACAGAACTCTCATTGTAACATATCACAGTTAAATAAAACTTCTAAAGGGGAGAAAAATAATAATAAAACAGGGCCACACAACTTAGTGGTAGTACATAATACTACTACTAAGGGACCTTGGAGGCACAGCAGTTAAGTGCTCAGCTGCTAACTGATGGGTTCATGGCTCAAACTGACCAGCCGCTCCACAGGAGAAAGCTTTGGCAGCCTGCCTTCCTAAAAGATCGCAGCCTTAGAAACCAGGTGGGGCAGTTCTATGATATCATACTGGGTCACTATGAGTCGGAACAGATTCGATGGCAATGAGTTTGGGTATAATTTGTTTTCATAGTACACCTACTCCTTACTTACCAACTAACTTGTTATTCAACATTTCCCATTTGTGATAATATCACAATGTATATGTATCATAAAATGTATCAAAATTATTTTTTGCATTAAAAACACACACCTGATAGTCACAAACACTGAAGTACAAGGGAAGAGTAACATTGGTAGTGATGGTGATGGTAGTGTCACCTCTCTGGAGCAAGAGTCTCAATGGTTTGGCAGTTACGTAATCTGGCAGTCATATAATGATGTCGTCCTCCTCCATTTTGTGATCTACTGTAGTCATCCCCCATTGTCACATAATGCTACTTTTCACATAACTCCCTGGTCCTGGTCTTTGGAATCTAACCATGCTGGTAAGCAAGGAATGTGTAATATTAATTGTAGTCTAAGGCAAATCTCTTCCTCCCTTCCCCCTCATTACTAGATGAAACTTTATTGATCTTCTATCTCGCTCTCTCCTCCAACTTGTTCTAATGTCATGTTTTTCTTCTGTTACTAATCTGCTCCTTTGGCACACCATGAACAACAGACCCAAGGGATGAAACGGCAAAGATTTCAATCCCCCAATGTATATGCTGGAATCCGCTCGATGGCAGTGGGGATTGTTCAAGCACAAAGAATCTATCACTACTACTCATTTCACAATGAGTATTTCAAATTACTCAAAGGGGCTTGTGTGGCGGGTAGCTCCATCAAACCCAGTACAGAAGCTACACAAAGCCAGCCCAGCAATACCAGGGCCTGCATTCCCTTGTCACACTCCAGACAGCACCCAAGTGCACAGCTGTGCTACGACGTGTTGGACAGCAATGCAGGAAGTCAATCAGAATCATTAGGCGACTTTGTAGCATTCCATTTCTCCTGGAAGGTAGGATTCAGGGTTAAGTGCTCTTTTGATTCCACTGAGTTTCCAAATTCTGAGATGCATGATGGGTCTTACTTTTTCTGATATTGTAATCTACAAATTGTAAAACTGCAATAAAAGGGGGGCATCTGCATTAAAGGATTGCTTTGTTCATTGTCTCTTACTAATATCCACCCCCCATCTGCCAGTTGTTGTCCTGTAGTAGCTCTTGTCACGTTGCCGTGATGCTTGATGCTTTGCCACCAGTGTTTCAAATGCCAGCAGAGTCACCCATGGTAGACAGGTTTTAGTACAGGTTCCAAACTGAGACAGCCAATGAAGACAGCCAATAGGCTAATCAGAGGGATTCTCACTCATTGCCATAGTATCAATTCAGACTCATAGTGACCCTGTAGGGCAGGGTAGAATTACCCCAGTGGGTTTCCAATACTATAATTCTTTACAGGAGTAGGAAACCAGGCTCATCTTTCTCCCTCAGAGTGCCTGGTGGCTTCAAACCACTGACCTTTCGGTTAACAACCCAATGTGCAATCACTACTTTACCAGAGCTCCTCCCACATCAGAGGGATTAGCCACTGACAACATTACTAATAGCAACAGAATGTTGTCCTATATGCTTCCAAAGGTGAGTCCTTCATATTGGAAGGCCCTCCAAAATACAACTGTGGAAATGCTGTCACTACAAAGTAGAGTTGGCCTATAATGTAGATCAGCAGTTCTCAACCTGTGGGTCACGACCCCTTTCAGGGTCAAACGACCCTTTCATAGGGGTCACCCAATTCATAACAGTAGCAAAATGACAGTGATGAAGTAGCAACAAAAATAACTTTATGGTTGGGGGGTCACCACACATGAGGAACTGTATGAAAGGTCAAGGCATTCGGAAGGTTGAGAACCACTGATGTAGATGAAGCACAGTGTTCAGGACCTCCACTCATTGATAGAGTCTCATGCCTCAAAATGAGAAAAAACAGCTGCAAACAGCCATTAATGACCAGAGCATTATATGTACAAAGCTTCAAAGGAGAAAAATTGGAAGTTGTCAAAAATGAAATGGAAAAAAAAAATGAAATGGAATACTTGAAGATTGATAATCTAGGTATTAGAGAGCTGAAATGGGCTATATTTTAACACTGTGAATTGGATATGTATATGGTTTAATATGCCAAGAATGACAAAGTGAAAAAGAATCATTTCGAACATATCATCAAAAAGAGCATTTCAAGATATACTTTGAAGTACAAGGCTATCTCTGATAGGATAATATCCATACCCTTCTCTGGAAGACCACTTAATATGACTCTTATTCACACTTATGCATCAATAAAGTCAATGATGAAGCAGTTGAAGACTTTTATCAAGCTCTTCAGGCTGCAATTGATCAAATGTGCAATCAACATGCATTAACAATCACTGGTGATTGGAAAGATCAATAGCTGGAAAACACAGCCTTGGTGATAGAAATGAAGCTGGAAATCAACTGATGGAATTTTGCGACACTAATGACTTATTCATTACAAATACTTCTGTTTTCAAAAACATAAAAGGTTATTAGATGTATGTACCTCACCAGATGGAATATACAAGAATCAAATTGAGTACATCTATAGAAAGATGTAGAAGGAGCTCACTACACCACAAATCAAACTCACTGCCATCGAGTCAATAACAATTCACAGCAACCCTAATAGAACAGGGTAGAACTGGCCCCTGGAACTCTTTATGGGAGTATAAAGCCCTGTCTTTAGCTCACAGAGTGGCTGGTGGTTTCTAACTGCAGACCTTGCAATTAGCAGCCCAACGCATAACCACTACATCACCAGAGAGAAGCTCAATATTACCAGCCAAAACAAGGCCAGGCAGTGACTGTGCAATAGACCATATAACATATAACATAGAACTTGCTAATATGCAAGTTCAGGTTGAAGCTAAAAAAAAGGCTTTAAGAGACCAATTATAACCTCAAATATATCACACCTGAATTAAGAACACCTTAAGAACAGTTGGACACTAATGACCAAAGACCTGATCAGTGTGGAATGACAGTAAGAGCACTATATATGAAGAAAGCAAGAGGTAATTTTTTTTGTGTAATTAAAAACTAAAGTAGATGTCAGAAGAATTTTGAAACTTATTCGTCAATGCAGAGTAGTTAAAGCAAAAGGAAGAAATGAAATATGAGCTAGATAGAAAATCCAAAGGGACAGCTTAAAAAGGCAAGGCTAAGTATGATGATGAAATATGCAAAGACCTGAAACTAGAAAGCCAAAAGGGAAGAACGCACTCAATATTTCTTAAACTTGCTTAAGCTGGAGAACTGAAGAGGAAATTCAAATTGCAAAACTGAGAGATACGGACAAAATATTGAACACTGCAAGAAGCATCAAAGAAGAAGGAAAGAGTACAGGGTCATTGTAACAAAAATAATTGTCTTCCATTTCAAGCCATAGCATATGATTAAGAACTGAGAGTATTGAAGGAAGAAGTACAAGCTACACTAAATACATGAGCAAAAAGCAAGGCTCTGAAAATTAACAAAATACCCATTAAAAGTGTTTCAGAAAGTGATATAGCACTGTTAGCACTCACTACATGGTGCAAAAAATTTACAAGACAGCTACCTGTCTAATCAATTGGAAAGATCCGTATGTGTGCCCATTTGGTGGGGGGGGGCGGGAATTGACTCATCAGAATGTGGAAATTACTGAACTGTATCCTTAGTATTACATGCAAGTAAAAATTAATTTAGTGATGATAATTTAAATCAGTTGTACATCAACAGGGAATTGCCAAAAATTCAAGCCAGATTCAGAAGAGGCTATAGAACAAGAGATCTTACTGCTAATGTCAGATGGACCATGGCTGAGATCAGGAAATACCAGAAAGATGTTTACTTGTGTTTCATCGTCTTTGCAAAGGCATTTAACTGTATGGGTCCAAACACACTATGGATGACATTGCAAAGAATGGGAATTCCAGAACACATAATTGTACTCATGTATAACCTGTATATGGACCAAGTGGTAGTCTTTCAAACAGAACAAGGGGATGCTGAGTGGTTTAAAAACTGAAAAAGTATGGGTCAGGGTTCATCCATTCGCCATACGTATTGGATCTGCTCTAAGGAGCATGCTCCTTAGAAGCAAAGATGGAGACTTTGCCTCAAGTACTATGGACATGTTATCATGAGAGACTAATCCCTAGCAAAAGACATCAGGCTTAGTAAAGTGGAAGGTCAGCAAAAAAGAAGGCCTTCAACAGGATGAATTGATCCAGTGGCTGCAACAACAGGTTCAACGACAACAGTTGTTCAGATGGCATAAGACCAGGTAGTGATTTGTTCTGTTGTATTGGTGTCACTGAGTGGGACCTAATAACAACAACAAACTAATATGGGAACAAATCTGGGGTGGGGGGTGGGGGGACCAATCAAGGCTATTAAATGATGTTTCTGTTTGCATGATGGCAGTGCAATACTTGATTCACTCGACCAATGTCTACTAAGTACCTAATAGAGGGCAGGTCCTCTGCTGGGTGTTAGGGATAAACTGATGGAAACAATTAAGCAAGCAAGCTAAGTACCCTCGTGGAGCCATTTTTTGGCTGTTACTGAGTCAGCTCCCGACTCGCAGTGACCCTGTGTACAATAAAGCTGCATTATTAGTACGCCAACTTCTGTGTGAGTAAGCAATAGGTGTCCAAATGATACAGATCATTATGGATTCAATTATACTGCTCACAGAGTTGTAAGCCCCTTTTTAAAAAAATAGTAGTAAACTCATACTCACAGAAACTGTGTATGATTAGGAGCACTGCTTGGAGCATTCCAGTAGACTTCTATACTATTTTTTTTGGATGGATTTCTATGGCTCACAGCTGAACCCTGGGAAAAAATGGAAAATAATTACTATTTATTCAGAAAACAGTTCAAAATTATGCAATCGTTTTGAAAATATTTTATCATTGCATGACCTAACATTCTGGTGAATACTAAACCACTATACTTAGGATAAGGTTTCAGGTATTCAACAAAGACCTGTTGATAGATTGACAACAAATTAACAGGAGCTTCTGTGAGCAAATTAGAATCATCAGAAATTCAGAACTCAAGAAAATAATAAGCATTGGGACTATTAATACTTTAATCAGCCTGCTCATTATTTTTATTATAAATTCATAATCCTTCCATGAATCCTTCCATGAAATGGAATCAAAAGAAAAAAAATATCTACCTCCAAATATGTAGCATTATAGTAGCTTCCTTTCTCTTGATCAATCTTTTCTCTATTCTTTCATTCACCTCACCTCATTCTGTAATCCGTAGCTTAAGATCAGCTTCTCCAACAAGTGCTCTTGCAATTCACTCCAGTCTAGGTTTGGAATTCCTTAACATAGGCCTCATTCATACCACCAATCTTCCAAAGCTAGTTGAGATAGTTAGTTTATTGTGCCAGCCTGGCCGATAAACACAAGTGGGATTAACTGAAGAGCGGAGAGATAAATGGCTCGGTGAGCCTCGTCTTTCTTGTATCTCGCTCTTTGATCATCAGACCAGTGTGCGACTGCCTTGCTTGTTCTGTGCCTCAATTTATAGGCTATACTACCTGTGGGACACCTAGCCTATGGACTGTGTCGCTGTAAGTTGAGGTCCCTTTAAGATCACACGATTGAAATTTATATCTCTGGAGCTGAGGACTGACAGTTGGTGACCTGGCTGACAGTTGGTGACCTGCCTGGCTGTTTTGCTGCCTGTGCTGGGATAGCCTGCTCTCTCTCTCTATAGAGGACTACCAGATGGCCCTCATGACTTGAAGGACTGCTAGTGTCTCACAACTCTCTCACGGGAGTGAGTTGCACTGAGCCATTTGTACTGCTTTATAATTTAACAGTTCATTTCTTGTGTTATATATCTATCTATCTGTTTATAATTTAACAGTTCATTTCTTATGTTATATATATCTATCCTTTTATATATATATAATTATCAGCAATCTGGTTTTATCTCTCTAGAGAACCCTGTCTAACACACTAGCACACCATACCACTTATGCGTCTCTCCTATCAGGCGATGAGTTTCTCAAGGAACAAGAGTTAAGTCTTGTTCCTCACCAGGTCCCTTGAATTCAAGACAGTTCCTGATTAACAAATGCTGGATCTGTTCTGGTGTGTTTTTTAATGAATGAATGGCAAAAATAACACCTCTACTCCACTCTACATTTCAGTCATCAACATTTGCGGTTGTTATTGATGGCTGTTGTCAATTAGCCTATCGTGGTGACTCCATGCATATGAAACAAAACGCTTCCAGTCATCTCCATGATCGGCTGCAGATTGGACCCTTGTGACCCATTGGATTTTCATTGGCTGATCTTCAGATGTAAACTGCCACACTTTTCTTCCTAATAATCAAAATTAGCACCTCCAAAAATCAATATAAAGAGCAAGTGCGATATTAAACAAAACCTATAAACTCTTTCAACTATTGCCCAATATTGTTTAAGATGTTGTTGTATGAAAACATTTCAAATGTAGTAAAATTAGAGGAAATTAGATCATTGTGACTCTATGTAGACACAAACAGTAGGTAGATAATACCATTGTTCATCTTGCAAACCACCACCCTGTAGTGAAAAGGCCCAAGGAAATTAATAAAAATCTATTTCAAACTAAAGGCAAACCTCTACATCTTCACAGTTGAGAATCTGCGACATTTCTTGGTCAATCAATGTGAAGGAGCCAATCAGAGGGCCACTCAAATCTTCAGCATCACGAGCTTCTAGGAGAAAGCCTTTAAATGTTGGCCCTGACAAAGTCACTGAGGAACAGACAAAAATATGGGGGGAAGAGGTTAGCATCATCCCCAAAGGGAAACTGTTTAGAGCACCCATGTGTAGTTAGTCACAACTATGTCAAATTAAGAAGTTATAGTTTTGTAATGTGAGGACAAATCTCTCCAAATATCCCTGAGCACAAACGGAATATTCTTAAATTTAGTTATATAGCTCCTAGGAGAAAGTTAGGGCCCTGATTTAAATAACACTCATTTGCTTTTCACTTGTATTTTCTTTCTTTGGGGTTTTTGTTTCATTTGTTTGTTTGTTTGTTTGTTTGGTCTAGGTACAGTGTACTTTATTGATGGTACATGACAAGGTTGGGCTCTCTGATCCCCTCTCCTTCTTCAGGAGGTCTGGATGGAAACTCGAGATGATGGAATATTCTCAGTGAGTTGGGGGATCAAGTTGAGACAAAGGCTCCCCAGCAGCCGAGGGTGTCTCTTCCTCCAGTGCTGTTGCTGGGGCTGGTGGTCCAGGGGGGCTCTTACTCCTTGGAGGCCATGTGGACCATGAGGTCCACCACTCTGTTGCTGTAGCCAAATTCATTGTCAGACCAGGAACTGAGCTTGACAAAATGGTCGTTGAAGACAACGCCAGGCCCAGCATCCAAGGTGGAAGAGTGGGTGTCACTGTTGAAGTCACAGGAGACAACCTGGTCCTCAGTGTAGCCCAGGATACCCTTTAAAGGACCATCGGATGCCTGCTTCACCACCTTCTTGATGTCATCGTACTTGGCAGCTTTCTCCAGACGACAGGTGAGATCCATAACGGACACATTGGGGGTGGGGACACGGAAGGTCATACCAGTGAGTTTCCCATTCAGCTCTGGAATAACCTTGCCCACAGTCTTGGCAGCGCCAGTAGATGCAGAGATGATGTTCTGGGCAGCCCCACTGCCATCGCACCAGAGTTTCCCAGAGGGACCATCCTCAGTCTTCTGGGTGGCAGTAAAGGTATGGACTGTGGTCATGAGTCCTTCCACAATACCAAAATTGTCGTGGATGACCTTGGCCAGGAGGCTAAGCAGTTGGTGGTGGAAGAGGCATTGCTGACTATCTTGAGGGAGTTGTCATACCTCTCGTGATTGACACCCATCACAAACATGGGGGCATCGGCAGAGCGCTAGAGATGATCACCCTTTCGGCACCACCCTTCACATGAGCCCCAGCTTCCTCTATGGTTATGAAAATACCAGTGAATTCTATGGCATACTCAGCACCAAACTTGCCCCACTTGATTTGGCGGGAGCTAACTCCTGGAAGACAGAGAAGGACTTCCCATTGACAATAAGTTTCCTGTTCTCAGCCTTGATGGTACCATTGAACTTGCTGTGGGTTGAATCATACAGGAACATGCAGACCATGTAGTTCAGGTCAATGAAGGGGTCATTGATGGCACCAATGTCTACTTTACCCATTGCCTGATGACCAGGCACCCATGGAGCCAAATCCATTTACTTCAACCTTCACAACCGTGTCTCTGGGATCCAGCTAGGCCATACAGAATGGGAAGAGGCAGCTGCCTGTCGCACAAGAGGAACAGAGAGCCTTCACTTGTATTTTCTATAGAGATGCTTTTCAATGTTGTTTATTTATTAATGCATCCGTAGCCTTCTTTCAATTGATATTGAATAGGATTTAATTAGCAAGCCAAACCAAAACCAAGCACAATGCCATCGGGTCTATTCCAACTATCGTGACCTCTAGGATAGGGTAAACTGCTCCTGTGGTTGTCCAAGACTGTAACTCTGGACAGGAGTAGAAAGCCCCATGTTTCTCCCAAGGAGTTGCTCGTGGTTAGCAACCCAATCCAGTTTAGCCCACCACACCATCAGGGCTCTGTAGGTAAGAAAAGTTTACTGAAATCTAATTCTCCAAAATGTAGCAAACCATACAGCTAAACATCCACTGCCGTCAAGTCAACTGCAACTCATAGCCACCCTGTGGACAGAAGAGAACGCCCGCACAGAACCTTCCAGACTCAGTCTCTGCAGGAGCAGGCTGACACATCTTTCTCCTGCAGAAAGGATGGTGGCTTTGAACTGCCAACCTTTTGGTTAGTAGTTAGCACTTTTATCACTATGCTCTAGGAATCCACAAAGTATAGATAAACTCCCTGTGTTACTCTGGGTAGACTAGAGGAACAAATCCATGGACACACATATGTGTATAAGGAAGAGGTTTATATACAAGAGCAATTGTACATTAAGAAA